GTCACTGGCCCTCATATGTGGGATCCGAACCAGGGCCCTCTGGCATCCCAAGCCAGCTCTTAACCAACGCGCCACTTAGGCTGGCCCTCACTTCAGATTTATGAGGGCTTAATCACATAAATTATTTAAGAAAGGGGAAATTGTTGTTTAAGTGCAGTGTCAGTAAGAACTGAACACAATTAAACAGAGTTGGGTCTAAATTATTATTACAATTACAGTTATAAAAGAATGCAACAATTAAAAAGTAAGTCTTAAATTATGAGATATAATAATTTAAAAAAACCCTCCAGGTTATATAAATCAAAAGCAGTAAGTTGTGGAAAGTGAAATGCAAGGCAAATAAAAATGTGCTAATACATTTATATATATACATATATATATGTGTGTGTGTGTGTGTGTGTGTGTGTGTGGTGTGTGTGTGTGTGTATATATATATATATATATAAACACATGGATTAAGAACAGATTGAGGTGGAGACATTAAGTAGTTATTCCTAGGATTGAGACTAGGAGTGATGTTTTCCTTCTTTAAAATTTGTTGCATTTTATTCATACTTGACACTAAATTTATATTACTTCAATAATTATAAAGGACATAGATATACATATATATTTTTAAGAATTAAGGTCAATAAATTTTGACACTGTATATCAAATCTTAAAATTTTTCATACACTTTAAGCCAGTAATTTTACTTTAAAAAAATCTTTTCTAATGATTACATCTGAAGCATGGGTAGAGAATATAGAAGAAAGTTTATTTCATCTTTTTAAATGAAGATGTAAGTTATACAAAATGTCTAAAACTTGCCTGTTTACAGTTCACTATTTTATTGGATAAATTTGTGGTGGAATTTTGAGAAAAGTATCCCTGCAGATTAAATTTTTTTATGTTTTTCTTACCATTGTTAGTGACAGTGATACATGTCCATTGAGGAAACTTACAAAAAAATCATAAAAGCACCAAGACGTGTCAATGCAAGCATAGCCAAGGATACTACAAGGATGGTTAGGTACTGTGCATATGCCATGAGACATTTTTCTTTTTTAAAAATAAACTTAAAAAAATTTTTTTATTGGGGAACAGCCATGGTCATTGGTTACACATTTCTTTCATGCTACAATGGCATAGTTGACTCTTTTAAGGAGGGTGTAGCTCACAGTGGCCCATGCCGGAATTGAACCAGCAACCTTGATGTTATCAGCATCAGGCTCTAACCAACTGAGCTAACAGGTCACCCCAAGACATTTTTCAAATGAGTGAATCAGTGCACGAGAGAGTGGCTTCTGGCTGACTCATGGCTTTGCTGAGCTCCTCATGGATTGAATTTATGGTATTTCAGTGAGAATTAACATTTAGCATTTCTTCTAATAATAGCTATCATCTTACAAGTAGTTTCCATGAAAATTTGTGATATAAACAGGCTTCCCCCTAAAGCATATAAAGAGCTTATGAATGAGGAAATGAATATTTTACACCTTAGAGAATCTTGTATACAACAGCTTTGTGATAAAATGAAGTTAAAATGGATAGTGTGGGAACTACTACCACTTTGTCTTACCCATCCATTTTATTTTATTTATTTATTATTATTTTTTAAGATTTTTATTGGGGAATTGGGGGAAGGGGAACAGACAAGTTGCTGTCCGTTTGTTCTTCAGTCTAGTTGTGGAGGATGTTGCTTCACTGGCCCAAATTGGCACCATCATTGGACTCTTACCAGGTGAGGCAGATCAGTCGCCGGCTTCTGGGTGGCCGCTCACAGCAGCTGCTGGCTACACACGGTAGCCCATGGCAACCCACCTGCCGTCGCCCGCCTGCGACTCACGGCAGCCCAGCTCCAGGTTGAGCTGTTGTTCAGC